TTCAGAAGCTATTCCCAGCCTGACAAGCTGATATCCAGAGAAACTCTGGAAGTGATCAGGCACTGGCAGGGGAGTCAATCCAAGTGCCCTAAGCTATCTATCCAACCCCAAACTCCAGGACTGACCAAGAGTTTTTATTTGTTTGTTTTACTTTCATTGACCGACCCGAGTTCGATTCCTCCGCCCCCCTCGGAGAGCCCGGCAAGCTACCGAGAGTATCTCGCCCGCACGGCAGAGCCTGGCAAGCTCCCCGTGACGTATTCGATATGCCAAACACAGTAACAACAAAGTCTCCAATGGAGACGTTACTGGGCCCGCTCGAGCAAATCGATGAACAACAGGAGGACAGTGACAGTGAAAGTGACTTTCATTGAATTATATATTTACCTAATATAGTTTATTGTTTACTGACCAAGAGTTTTTGTCTTGTTTTGTGGTACTGAGATAAGACCCAGTTGTCCACAAGCAAGGCTACCACTAAGCCTTGCTGCTGGCATGATTTTTGAACAATGCTGCGATCAGCATTTTTGTAAAGTGTTTTGCTGCACGAATGCTCTCATTTCTCCAGGTTACATATCTACTGGCAAAGTTAATAGCTGGGCTCCACATTATGTATATCTCTGACTTGATAATGCCAAATAATCAGATTAGACTAATACTTTCCAGTGTGGCGTTTCACTGTAATTTTAATTTGTCTAATCTGATAAACAGCAAGACCAAGCACATTTTCAGGTTTATTAGGCAGTGGATTGCCTCTTGTTGAAAATATATATTCAATTCTTTTGTCCACTTCCATTTTCCTTTCTTTGCCTCAATTACCCTTATTGTATTTTCCTGCCCCCCACCCCCACCGCCATTTTTCCCCTTTGGGGCCACACCTGGTGGTGCTTAAGATCTACTCCTGGTTCTGTGCTCAGGGATCACACCTGGAAGGAGTTAGGGGACCACTCAGGGTTCTGGGATAGAACCTAAGCCTGCAAGGCAAATGCTGACCTCTGTACTAGCTCTCTGGCCACTTCTTTTGTTTGTCTTGGGGTCGTACCCAGTGAGTGAAACTGGGGAGGGATCAAACCTGGGGTTACGGATAAGGTGCGCACTTCAGCCCCCTTGGTTTCCGTATAAGGCGCACGCTCCAGCCCTATTTCTCCTCCTCCTCCTCCTCCTCCTCCTCTTCCTCTTCCTCCTCCTCCTCCTCCTCCTCTCTTTCCTCCTCCTCCTCCTCCTCTTTTTTTTTTTTTGCCACACCTGCAGGTGCTTGGGGTTTACTCCCAGCTCAGTGCTCAGGGATCAGTCCTGGCAATGCCAGGAATCAAACCCAGGCCTCCTACATGCTTTGCACATGCTCAGTCCACTTGGTCAGCTTCTTGCTCCTTTACACTTTTATTTTTTGGCAGGGGGATAGTCACACCTGACAGTACGCAGGGCTTACTCCTGGCTCTGTACTCAGGAGTGACTCTTGGCAGCGCTCCAGGGGCCATATGTGTGCTGGGATTGAACCCAGATTGGTTGAATGCAAGGCAAGTGCCCTGCCCACTGTGCTATCACACCAATCCCACGAACGTTTTTGAAAATTAGGATATTATTGAATAAAATATCGATCCATTTTACTTATTTTCCACCCCGGTGCAAAGGCAGCTCATTGCAGTTTTGTACATTAGCATCCATCATTTTTCTGCAGAGCAGTTTTTTCTCTTATTTTGCAGCTCCACGATTTACAATATTGTTAATGATAGTGTTTCTTGTGTATAATGTTCCAACACTGCAGTCCCCGCACCAGGACACCCAAGTACCTCCCCCGTTGTCTCAGACTTGGCCTGTATTTTTCAGTTTTTGCATTTCGGGGTTTGGGGCAGTTGGGAGGGTTTGGGCCACACCCAGCAGTGCTCAGGGATCATTCCTGATGGTCCCGGGGTTTCAAGCAGCGTTAGAGATCAAACTAGGGTTGGCCATGTGCCAGCTAAGCACCTTCCCCTGGGAAAATTTCCCCAAATCCCAGAACTGGAAATTTAACTCATTGTCAGGTTTGGAAAGCTCAGGGATTTGGGCTCAGGCGGAGAGTGAAACCAGCTGACACCGCGAGTTCTGGGACCCGAGAAGCGACCTTGTCAGCATCGCTCCGAGACATGGGGGCGCTCAGGCTGCGGCTGCTCCCGGCATCTCTGTTCTGCCGACTTCATCCTCTTTCCTGTCTCCCAGGCTGCTGGTCAGGGCCGCTGGGCAGCTCAGGGGCCTGTTGAATGCAGCCCCATGCTGAAGCCCCGGCTGGAATCACTCAGCTAGTGTCTCTGCCCCGAGGTCAGAGACGGCCCTCCTGCTGTCCTGTCCCCAGTCTCCTACGCTGGCTCACTTTGTCACAGGGAAACCACTGGGAAGCCATGGGGGGGTCTAGGTGGGTGATGAGATGGACTCAGTTCTCATGCACCGTCAGTATTGAAGATCACACACACACACACACACACCACACTCCCCCCCACCCACATCACACAGACCACACATACACCATCCATACACACCACACACACATCACATACACACACCGCACACACACCACATATATATACCACATACACACCACGCACATATATACCACACACACCACACACACCACACACACCACAACCACATACATACCACACATACACCATGCACACAACACATATCACATACACACACTGCACACACACCACATATACACACTGCGTACACACCAATACACGCACATACCATGCACATACATACTGCACACACCACACACACACCAGACACCACACCACATACACACCACATACACACATACCACACACATACACACCACACACATACCCACACCCCCACCAACCCCCATGCCTCCCACATCACATACATACATATACACATACAAACCCCACACCTCCCACATCACACACACACCACATACACACACATACACACCACACACACACACACACTGCACAAGTTTATTCACAAGTTTATTCACTCTGCACAAGTTTATTCACGCCCAGGACACTCCGGTGACTATGAAGAGCACAGCCTAAGCAGTCGGGTTCCTACACTGTAATTCTGGGCTGGGTTAGGTGCAGCCGCCACAATGGGGTGAGACTTGGGTGGGACTAAGGTGGATGATTGACAGGTGTGGATTGCAGAACTAGATGACCGAAGTGCACATAATTACCCATAATGCACGCAGAAAAGCCCACTTTGCGGGGCGGGGAGTCCCTTTTATTGCTCTTCCTGGAAGTGTCCATGCCAAACGAAGCAAGGATCTTTTCTATGGCACATTAAAAGCTGCCCCCCACATTTCAAGCTCCAGTGTAAAGCAGAAAGTTCAAGGTGAGTGGGTTTGGGGGCTGAAGTGGTATACAGAGGTCAGGGCATGTGCCTTGCACATGGCCCAGTGGGGTTCCATCACCTGCACCACATATGCCCCTCTAGGAGTGATCACTGAGCACAGAGCCAAGAGCAAGCCTTGAGCACTGCCAAGTGTGGCCCCAAAACAAAAACAAAAAGAAAAAGGTGAGCAGGTTTGGAGGCTGGAAAGATGGTCCAGCAGGGAGGGCACTTGCCTTGCAGGCAGCTCGCCTGGGCTTCCCCAGCACTGCATAAAGTCCTGTAAGCATTGCTGGCAATGGTCTCCGAGCACAGGGCCAGGAGTAGCCCTGAGCACAGTGAGGTGCCACTCCAAAACCAAAAACCAAACCAATCCAAACAAACAAACAATAAAACTGATTTCCCCATGTGCAGGCAACTGAGAGAATGAAACCAGATCACAGATGTGACTACAGCTAGACCCTAGAGGAAGTCTCCTCCAGAGCCTGGGGTTTGATGAAGGTCCCTCTTCTTCCTCAGGAGGCCAGAGCACTATCCTCTCTTCCATCATCCCTTCGATCCCAACTCTTCAGGATATTTTCTGGTAGGAGAGGGGAACCATAGGAAGGAAACAAGGATGAAGGGGGCCACGGTTGGGAAAAAGTTGAGAAACACTCTAGTTTGTAATTTCCTGAGATACACACCAAGAGCAGAATACATGCTACTGGTGTGGCCCTGTTGTCTTAAGTAGGGCCAACTATCACCTCCTTCAATCTCCACACTTAACCTCTACATTTTTTTTTGAAGTAAAACAGATTTTATTTGGAGGGTTTTTTGAAAGTGGGTAGGGGAGGGGGAGAGAATGTGTGTGTGTGTGTGTGTGTGTGTGTGTGAGAGAGAGAGAGAGAGAGAGAGAGAGAGAGAGAGAGAAATGTGCTCGAGAGAATGTGGGCTTCTCCTAGGGTGGAGAGAGCCCCTACACACATTCCACCATTAGACAGGAAAGCATAAAAGTACAATCTCAAGAGAGGAGGTGCAGACGGGACACACCTACTCAGGCACACATCTCGGCCATGAGGGGACAAGAAGCACTTGGGCTCGGGCAGCATATGCACCTTAACCTCTATTAATGCAACCCAAGTTGACGATGGACTGTGTGCTCTTATCTCACTCCTCTGATACTTGCTAAGCTTGCGGATAACTGCCCCAGATCTTTTTCACAGAATGTTTCCAAACCCTGCATCTCATCTTGGACACAGGCCAGAGAAGTCTTGCCGCGAAAAGGAGGGACCTTCCACGACACTTGAATCCCCTCTAGCTCGATGGAGACCCCAAATGTACAAAAGAACCTCAGGGAAACACTCGGCTGACATTTCAGTCCAGGGAGTGGGATGTTTATTGATTTGGATTTGGGGGCAGGGCTGAGAGATAGGGGGCAGAGGTAGGGGGCAGAGAGAAGATGCCCGAGGGGGGTGGCTTTAGTGTCTGAGCGCCCACTTGGCCAAGGTTGACCTTCGTCAGGGGTATCAGGCATTGTGGTTCCCCACATCTGGGCCGTGGACTCCTCAGGGCGCCTTGAGGCAGTCTGGGAGTTTGAGAGAAGCTCAGAGAGAGCACTGTGTGTAGAGTCCAAGGTCCCTGTCTCCCACGACGTCAATCCTGGTACTGATACAGGGAAAGATGTAGGCCTGCCCCTGCTTCTGTCTTCGGCCCTGGGGGCTGGGTGGCATGAACGTTGCCCCCGGGATGTGGTGGCCTGGGCTGGTGCCAGCGTTCAGACGGCGAGAGGGGTGGCACTCTCTGGACTGTGGCTCTGTCCTCGCGTGCCCTGGGATGCCGTGGTGCTCACGCTCGGCTGGGCTGGCTGCCCGCCCAGGCCTCAGTCGGTCTTCCTGACCCCTGAGAGGCAAAGCAGGAGGGAGGGCAGGGGGCGCCGAAGGTGGCTGGCCTCGTCCCCACCAGAGGCCCTAAGACCCATCACGGCTGGTGCAGCCTGTCACCCAGCAACTTCGGGTCTCTGTCCCCACAGCCGTCAGAACTGAGGTCCCCTTAGGGACAGAACAGCCTTGGGCAGACAGACCCCACCAGCATAGGTGCAGTCCCCATGCCTCACGAGGGCCAGGAGACTCCCTTGCCCCCACCTGCCTCCGTTAGCTATGTGACCCTGGGAAAGTCTCTCTGCCTCTCTGAATCCATCGCCCCACCAGGTGAAACCTCTGTGAGAGAAGGAGGAATTTTGAGTCCCAGCACTTTTTGGTTTGCTTGAGTACTTGGTACTCCAGGCCTGCTCATTGCTCTGTGCTCCGGAGTCACTCCAGCAGTGCTCAGGGACCACATGGTGTTGAGGGCTGAACCTGGGCTTCTTGAATGCCAGGTGTCCGCGCAGCCCACTGAGCTATCATCTCTCCCGCCCTCTTTCACAGCATTTCATGCCTAATGACTTTTGCATCATTCTCGTCTGGTTTCCACCGTCCCCTGCCAATAGGCATCATTAGACCCATTTTCCAGTTTAGGAAATACAGACTGGAAGAGGACGTGAGACCCCAGAGCTGAGAACTCGGTAGAAGCAGGACCCCAGCTCCAGACCCCCATCCCTTCCTCTCCACTAAGCCCCCTGCCCAACAGGAGAGCCTGACAGGGAGCCCGTGTCCACAGGGAAAGGAAGGGAGTTACCTATGAGCCGCAGCTTCTGGAAGAGAGGGATGAAGCCCTGTAGGACGCTGTGGATCCGGTACACTGTGGAGGCAGAGAAAAGGCACTGAGGTCTGTGCCCAAGGAGGGCTGGACACCGTCCCCACCCCCACTCCCAACCACACATCCAAGGCTCCGGTGGAATCTCAGGCAGCTGATTTACTTAGAAAATAGCACCAGTTATCACTATTAAAAACAACTACCACCGGCACTGATAACAGCACCAGGAAACCCAGCGAATCCAGCATCAGGTTCCATGAACTAACTTGTTTTCTTATCTGGCTTCATCATTTTTTCGAGGGTTTTGTTTTGTTTTGATTGGTCTTTTTAAACTGTTTTTGTTGCACTTTCATGGAACGCCCCCCCCTATTTTTTTCCACTTCGTTTTGCCAACAACCTCACAATGACCTTAACAGCGGTCAGAGAGAAAACACAGGCAAAGAGAAATCTTTACAGAATGTCTGGGTGGTGGCTTTCTGGCCCTTGGCGGGCATCTGGGGCTAGTGTGGCCACCCTCTCCTACCCCCCCGGAGCTGCATGGACAGGGGCCTCACCCAGCCCGAAGTAGATGCCGAGGGTCTCCAGGGAGGCGAAGGTGAGGAGGCCAACGCCAAGGGACATGAACCAGTCTGCAGGGTAGGGAGGCAGAGGTCAGCACGTGGGTTTGGGCCCGGGTCCTGGGAGCTCTGCCCCTGCTAGGCTCCAGCCAGACCTCGCCCCTCACCAGGCCCCTCCCCGCCTCAGGCCCAGTCCCAAGCTCTGGCCTGGTCTTGGGACACACCCCTCCCGGAATATGCCCTTCCCAGGACACCAGGACACACTCCCCAGGGACACGCCCTTCCCGGGACACGCCCCTCACGGGACAGGCCCATCCCAGGACACGCCCCCTCTGGACACGCCTCCCAGGACACGCCCATTCTGGGACACGCCCATCCCAGACACGCCCCTCATGGGAGTCCATCCCGGGACACGCCCATCTCGGGTACGCCCCGCCCAGGACACGCCCATCCCGTCTGGGACACGCCCCTCGTGGGCCGCCCATTCCTGATACATCCTGCTCAGGACACGCCCATCCCGGATTCGCCCCGCCCAGGACACGCCCCGATGCCTCCTCCCCACTCACCGGCATAGTAGTGGTAACACACCAGTAAGGACCCGATGGCGAAGCAGAGGAGGACGAAATGGAAGAACTCATCTGCAGAGGCAGAGCCGGGGGCCTGACTTACTATTTGCTTCTTTCTCTGAAACATGGGGTCACCCCGAGACAGACCCCCGGAGCAGCCCCACTCGCAGAGCACCCAAGCCCAACCCCTTTCCAACCCTGATCGCCTTATTATTCATCTGATGTTCATCAAACTTATGCTTTCATTGTGTTTCTTCTTTTTTTTTTTTTTCAAGTCACACTGGGCAGTGCCCAGGGTTGCTGGACTGGGCGTCCCGCATGCTAAGTATGTGCTAGTCCTGAGGGTCCGAATGCCAGTACAGCGGGAAGGGCGTTTGCTTGCACACCGCCAACGCCGATTCAACCCCCGGCACGCAGCATAGTCCCTGAGCCCTCCAGGAATGATCCCTGAGCACAGAGCCAGGAGTCAGCCCTGAGCACTGCCAATGAAACAAACCAGACTCTCTGCTAGCCCTTTGGGCCTTCCCAGCCCCCTTCTGACCTACCCTTTGCCTCCCTGAGGGATGGCAGGTTGGCCTTCTGCAGTTCTGCAAAGGTGGCACCTGGCAGGAGGAGCCGCCCCAGACATGAGATGCGACCAGAAAGGCCACAGCTTTCAGATTCCACATGGCCCCATCTTCTTTCCTCATGCCACGGGGGTCTTATTAGGAGGGTTGGGGTCTGAGGCTATCCCAGGTCACTCCAGCAGTGCTGAGGGGACCGTGTGGTGCCAAGGATCAAACTGGGGTCAGACACCTTCGAGGCAAGAGCCTTGACCAGGTTCTAACTCTGCAGCCCTTTTCTGTTGTGTTCGTGGAGCCAGAGATGGACCCCAGGTGAGTGCTCTCCTGCTGACTCCCCCCCTGCCCCGCATCTCTTCTTACCATCCTTCTTTATATTCAGTTTCCTTAACTGAGCCGCCTCCACTTCCCCTGGGGAACCAGAAAGAGAGTTTAACCTCAGTGTGGGAGGCCGGGGGTCCTCTGCTCTGCTCCCTGAAAATGGCATCCTGGGTTCTCCTTCCAGGTCAGAGGGCAGTCACTGTAGGTCCAGCCAGGGCAGAGCTGTGATGGTGGGGGAGCTTCCCCTGGGCCCCCCGGGCCCCCCACTCACGACCCTCCCTGCCTCCATAGGCCTGAGTCTGTTTTATCCCATTTCCCCTGGACCTGGAAGTCCCTTTCCTGAATTCGCAGGACACTTAGGGGGAGAGGGGATGGTCTCTCTGCCAGGACAGGCACGTGGGACTTGGGGAGGGGGTGCTGACCCACCCTCCCAGGCCCTGCATGCCCCAGGAACCCCCCTCCTTTGTCACTCTCCTCTGGAACACGTGTATTCCCAAGTGTCCCCCAGCCCACCACCCCCCGACATTGTCCTCTGGAGCATTACCGCTGACTGCGTCTGAATCTCTTTTTCGCAGGCCTGCACAGGAGAAACTCAGCGTTAGTGCTCAGGGCAGACAGGATCCTTCAGGGCTTCTACCTGGGGGAGCCTGTAGGTGACTTTAGAAGGCACCTGGGTGGCACCCTCCAGCCCCCAAGGGAGCTCTGTGCCTGGCAACCCCCTCACCACTGTTCTGAGCCTCCTTTCTGATCTCCGCTGGCCTCTGCCTCCTGCTACCACCTGCTACCAGTTTGCTGGGCCCAAGACAGAGACCCAGCCCCCAAGTGGACTTGTGCCCCATGCACCCTGACGGTCTCTGGTTCTCGGGGCGGGGTGGGAGGACAGTGTGCAGACCCGACTCCAGTCCAGCACTGACACCGCATCCCCAAGCTCACCTGTCTCCCCAGAGGGCACCAGCTCTCCAGGGGTCCCTGCACAGAAGGAAAAACAGTGATCACACCCCGTCACACTGAGCAAGGAGGGTCTCACTCATTTGGGCAAGGGTGGGCTGGGACCCCTCCCGCTAAAGGGACAGTGTCCACCCAGTCCCTGCTGCAGGCTGGCTCAAGATGGCAGATCTTTGGGGCTGGAGTGATAGTCCAGTGGGTAGGATATTTGTCTTGCATGCAGCCAGCCCAAGTTCAACCTCCAGCATCCCATATGGTCCTGCCATGCATCACCAGGAGAAATTCCTGAGTGCAGAGATAGGAGTAATCCTTGAGTAAAAGAGAGAAAGAAAGAAAGAAAGAAAGAAAGAAAGAAAGAAAGAAAGGAAAGGAAGGAATGGAAGGAAGAAAGGAAGGAAGGGAGGGGGGAGGGAGGGAGGAAGGAAGGAAGGAAGGAAGGAAGGAAGGAAGGAAGGAAGGAAGGAAGGAAGGAAAGAAGGGGTGACAGTCAAGCTCCCGACTGGGAGAGGAGGAGAGGGTCCGGGTCAGTCTCACCCACTAGAAAGTCCTTTCTTCCAGCCCCATCAGCAGAGTCCCAGGAAGCTTCTCACTGCCTTTGTCCTACCCATCAACACCCTTAGATAAGTCTACCCTGGGCAAAGCCACTGGCGCCCTGATTACCTCCGTAGAGTTGAAGCTCATCGTTGGAGATGTCAGAGTCCCCGGGCCCAGCACCTACTGGAGACAGCACCTTTAGCTGGCCCCCCCAGACCCAGCACTCCACAGCAGCTCCAAGGGCTGCAGCCTTGGGAAGTGACCCTGTCCCTGTACAGGGGAGACCTGGGGTCCTTCAGAGTCCACTTGGACTGAAATACATCATCCTTTAAAATATATATATATTTTCAGGGCAGGAGATATAGTACAGCAGGTAAGTACGCTGCTGACTGACCTGGGTTCGATCCCCAGCACCCCATATGGTCCCTCAAGTCCCTCCAGGAGTGATCCCTACGGGCAGAGCTAGGAGTGAACCCTGAGCACAGCTAGGTGTGGCCAAAAACCAAAATAATAATGAGTAATAATAATTAAAAAGTTGGGCCAGAGTGATTGTATAGTGGGTAGGGCACTTGCCTTTACACGGCCAGACTAGATTCGATTCCCAGCATCCCATATGGTCCCCTGAGCCCTGCTAGGAGTAATCCCTGAGCACTGCTGAGTGTGAAAAAACAAAATAATAATAATAATAAATCTAAAATAATCTATTTTCTTGGGCCAAAGAGAGAGTGAGAGAACAATGGAGCAAAATGGACAGAGCACAGGCCTTGCATGCCGGAGCCCCGGGTTTGACCCCTGATGCCACATGGTCCCCCAATCCTCCCCCATCCTCAAGCTCCAGGCCAGGAGTAGCCCCTGGGCATGCCCAGTTGCAGCCCCAAAACAACAACAACAAAAAATTATTTACTTGGAGGGTGGGGTTTGGGGTGTTTATTTTTTTGAGGGGGCCATACCCAGCATTGATGAGGGGTTACTCCTGGCCGTGCTCGGGGGACCACATGGGATGCTGGGGATCGAACCCGGGTCAGCCATATGCAAGGCCCTACCCGGTGTCCTATCGCTCTGGCCTCAGCAAACTATTTTCTTGTATTTATAAAAAAAAAGACCTTCCCCCAAAAAAGTAAGGTGGAGTTCATGCCCAATTCAACCAGCTCATCAGTGGCTGAGTAAGTAGCAGTACTCCTATATTAAAAAAAATACTAAAAAAATAAGACCTTCCTATTGCCAACTATTTGTGGAATCTGATCGTTACAGAAAGAGAAGATTAAAATCACCCATAATGTAACCATCTGGAGATACAACACTAGGAACGTGTTCGTATTTTTCTTAGGAACATTTTCATATTTTTCCTTCGCATCTTTCTCATAGTAACGCGATGAGGTGTGAATTTTCCCCGAAGCCTCGAGGAGGTCTAACACAGGGAACGATGTGACATCTGTGTCCTCCCCTTCAGGGATGGGGAGGGCGTCTTGCCTACCCGTTGAGCTGCCTCTGAGGGCAAGTCCGGCGCCCCCACCTGGTCCGTGTTTCCTGGAGCCTTCGGGGTGCTTGTCCTCGTCACTGCTGTCTGTGGGGGGAACAAGCACAAGGTGGGACCTGGGGGACCTGGGGTTCACTCCGCAGAGTAGTCGCATAGGTGCTGGGGTGAGGCCTGGGGAAGGGGCTCAGCTCTGCAGGGCAGGGGCTGGAGTGGCTGGGAACTTCCGGTCGGGTGAACCCAACGCTTGGCACCGCACTGGCTGCCTTCACAGAACTTGGGTGAGGCCTCGGGCAAGGCACAGGAAGGAGGACACAGCCTGGAGGTGCCCTCCTCCGTCCCAGATGGGCAGTGGGCCCAGAGTGTGAAGGGCTGCTGTCGCAGTGAGACCCGGGCTGAGCACCAGCCTTGAGCAACAAACCCTGTGCCCTGTGTGTGTGTGGGGGGGGGGGGGGGGCGGGGGAGGGCAGGGATCCACGGAGGATTCTGAGTCTCTCTCCCTTCAGGCTTAGCTGTGGTCAAGATGACGGCGGACTCAAAGGGAGCAGAGGCGCCCCTGCAGCTGTCAGCTCCTCCTTCAGATTTTAGGCTTGGAGGAAAAGGGTTTGGATTCATATTTGCACCACCACAGACAACGGTTACAAGTGTCTTGGGGTGTGGGCTGAGCACCCACATGTTTCATCAGCCTTCTTCTCAGCAGGAGACTGGACCTTGCAAGCATTTTAAAAAATGTTTAGGGGCTGGGGCTGGAGTGATAGCACAGCGGGTAGGGCGTTTGCCTTGCACGCAGCCAACCCGGGTTCGATTCCCAGCATCCCATATGGTTCCCTGAGCTACTGCCAGGAGTAATTCCTGAGTGCAAAGCCAGGAGTAACCCCTGTGTGTCACCAGGTGTGACCCAAAAAGCAAAAAAAAAAAAATTTAAAGAAGTTTAGGGGCTGGAGTGATAGCACAGCAGGTAGGGCATTTGCCTTGCATGCGGCTGACCCGGGTTCGATTCCCAGCGTCCCATATGGTCCCCTGAGCACCGTCAGGAGTAATTCCTGAGCACACGAGCCAGGAATCTCTGGGTATGATCCAATAAATAAATAAATAAATAAATAAAAATTTAGCTCAAAAGTTCTCTTTTTTGGGGGGCTGGAGTGATAGCACAATTACTCCTGGCAGGTCTCAGGGGGACCAAATGGGATGCTGGGGATTGAACTCGGGTCAGCTGTGTTCAAGGCAAGCACCCTACCTGCCAGGTCTGATTGCTCCGGCCCCTCAAAAACTCTTTGATCATGTAAAACTTGAGGCCCAGGTGCAGAAGACAGCTCTGCAGGTTGGAGGTCCTGGGCTCCAGCCCCCATACTGCGTGGCCCTTGTCCTCCCAACACACACACACACACACACACACACACACACACACACACTGCTGAGAGCAGCCTCCAGAAGCAGCCCCAGAGTAGCAGCTGGTATGGCCCCACCAAACCAAACTCCAACCTCAGAACCGAACCACAGTGTCAAACAGATCCTCGAGCGAGGCTCCTGCTGGCCCAGACTCCCCTCACAGGAAGCCTTCCAGGCGCCCCTCAGTTAGTTACTGAGCCACCTTGAAGTAGGGGGTTAGCCTGTGCCTCAGCTTCCCCACCTGTAACATGGGAAGGATGATACCATCCTAAGGGTGGCATGGGAATGAAGGAGTCATGGCACAAACGGGATTGGGAACAGCACTGGCCCCAGCGTATTTGTTCCCAGAGATGCTGCAGCAACCGGCAAAGGTCCAGGCCGAGAATTTGAATGAAAGAGCAGGAGCCGAGCCTGTTCTTTTGGGACAGCGGGGAAGGCGCTTGCCTTGCACATGGCCGACCTGGGTTCAATCCCCGGCATCCCATGGGGTCCCCTGAGCACCGCCAGGAGAGATTCTTGAGTGCAGAACCAGGAGTCAGCCCTGAACAGTCAACGCGAGGTGTGACCCAAAAACCAAAAAAGCAAAAGAATAAAACAAGAAAAAGGTAGGGGTGAGAGAGAACAGTGGTTGCCTTGCACGTGGAGGACCCGGGTTCAACCCCTAACACTCTGCATGGTCCCCTGAGCCCCGCCAGGAGTGATCCCTGAGCACAGAGCCAGGAGTAAATCCTGAGCACTGCTGGGTGTGGTGTAATCTCCCCCACCCCCCAAAAAAACAAAAAAGACTAAAAAGGAGGCCAAGGCGATGATTTAGCGATGGAACAGATGCTTTGCATGCGTGAGGCCAAGAGTCGAACCCTTGACAGTGCAGAAAACAGAAGGAGCAGGAGGGGACCAGAGAGACAGTATGGGATGTAAGGTGCTTGCCTTGTATGCCGTCTCATCAACTGCAGCCCTGGTTCGAATCCTGGCTCTACATATGGTCCCCTGAGCACGCCAGGGGTCACCACTGAGCTCAGGGCCAGGAATAACCCCTGAACATCCCCGTGCATTAATCAATTAGTTAAGTTTTAGGGCCACACCAGTGGTGGTCAGGACTTACTCCAGGTTCTGTGCTCAGGGATCATTCCTGGCGGTGCTTTGGGGTGGGACACTGTATGTGGTACCAGGAATTAAACTGGGGTTGAACAGAAGCAAGGTAAATGCTTTTTTTGTTTGTTTGTTTTTTGCTTTTTGGGTCACACCCGGCAATGCTCAGGGGTTACTCCTGGCTCTGCACTCAAGAATTACTCCCGGCAGTGCTCGGGGAATCATATGGGATGCTGGGAGTCGGACCCGGGTTGGCCGCGTGCAAGGCAAACGCCCTGCCCGCTGTGCTATTGCTCCAGCCCCAAGGTAAATGCTTTAAGCTCTAGACAGTATCTCTGTCCCTTCTTGATTTAATTTTGGGGTCACATCTGGCAGTGCTTAGGGATTGCTCCAGTCTCTGTGCTCAGGGTCGCTCCCAGGGGTGCTCAGGAGACCATGTGGTGCCGGGAATTGATCCAGGGCCTCCCTCATGCAAGCCTGTGCCTGGGCCCTTGGAGCAATCCCTGCAGCCTGACCCTAAAATTTAAGGACACATTGTCTAGGTGGCCAGGATGATATGCAAATTCTGCAGACAGATGGGTGGGAGTAGGAAAGGGAATCTTGAAATGCCATGTGGGAGATTATGGGGGAGTGTTTTTCCTTGTAAATGCTAAAAAGAGGTAGGTGTGTGTGTGTGTGTGTGTGTGTGCGCGTGCGCGCATGTGTGTGTGGAGTGTATACATGTGTTTGTGTGTGTGTGGGGGGGGGGTGACAGGAAGGAATCCAGGGTATCTTCATGCAGGACAAGTGCCTGAACCCTGAGTCGCATCCCAGTCCTATATAAGCTTGTTTCTTTGAAAACACACACACACACACACACACACACAACAACAACAACAAAAAAGCCCTTTGCTATACCTGTCGATGAGGAGGATGAGGAGGAGGAGGAAGAGGAGGAAGAAGATGAGGAAGATGAAGAGGAGGAGGAGGAGGAGGGCTTGTGTCTCTCATGGTGTCCGGGTGAGCCGAGGCCGGCGTCCCCAGCTCGCCGGTGGGCATCAGTCTCTCCGTCTGAGTGGCACACACAGGCAAGATGAGCACAGCCCCCCCACCCCGCGGACCCCCGGGAAGCCCCCTGGACTGAGGAGTCAAGAGTCGCTAGAGTCCCTGCCACACTCATCCACACCCCAGGGATAAGAGCAGGAACCTTGGGAACCACAGGCCCTGGGACTGTCTCTCAGTCTGGAGCCCAGAGGCAGCTTCAAAGCCCCCCACCTCCCACAAGGTTGTGTGGGTGGCAACTTAGGGTGTCCCTTAAGCTCCAGGCAAGGGAAGGGCTCGAGCCCCCCAGAATGTCACTGTCCCCAAGCATGACCCTTCCCGTCCCGAAACTCCTCTCGTGTTGTCCCCAGAGCCTCTGAGGGTACAGGGCGGGTGCTGGGACCCTGAGAGCAGCCCACACAGAGGTGTGTTAGTGTGAGGGTGTGTGCACGTGTGTGCATGTATGTGCATGTGTATATGTGTGTGCATATGTGTATGTGTGTATGCATGTGTGTGCACATGTGCATGTGTCTGTGTGTACACGTGTGCATGTGTGTGTGTGTGTGCATGTGTGCGTTTTCCTGCATGTGTGTGTGTTTGCGCACATGCTTGCTTGTAGAAGAACCATGCTTCCCCAGCAGCTGTGTGGGGACACACAATGTCACTGTGCTGAATGGGCCTGTTCTTTTCCCCCACTGTGGACTCCCCCTCCCACGGGCTCAGCCAGGGGGTGCAGACCCACAGTTAAGCTCTTCTGTGTCTCCCTGCACTCGGCTGTGCTCCTCTGTCTGCGTGGAGGGTCCTGAACTGGCCATGATCTTCCCTGGAGGAAAAATGAAAAAACAACAAATAATCCCTTAGTTGAGCACCTTCATAAGGAAAGAGTTTGGCAAACAAATAAGAAAAAGATAAATGGGGTCGCAGAGACAGCACAGCAGGTAGGGCACTTGCCTTGCATGCATCTGGCCCAAGTTTGATCCCCAATACCCCATATGGTCTCCTTAGCCAACCAGGAGGGATCCCTGAGTATAGTCAGAAGTATACCCTTAGCACCACTGTGGCCCAAAAACCAAAAAAAAAAAAAAAAAAAGCCGAACACTGAAATTCAATGGTCTAAGAAAAATAATTAATAAAAAAGGAGAGAAATATACAAAGAAATTTAAATAAATTTAAATATTTAAAATTTAAATAATTTTTTAAATTTAATTTATTAGTCAGGGGTGAAGCAGGGAAAGAAAAAAATTTTAACTAATTTATTTCTTTAAAATAGACTATTAGGGGGGCTGGAGCAATAGCACAGCAGGTAGGGCATTTGCCTTGCATGCGGCCGACCTGGGTTCGATTCCCAGCACCCCATATGGTCCCCCAAGCACCGCCAGGAGTGATTCCTGAGTGCAGAGCCAGGAGTAACCCCTGAGCATCAGCTGGGTGTGACCCAAAAAGCAAAAAAAAAAAAAAGTCTATTAGGGGCCCAAGAGAAAGTCCCACAGCAGATCCCAGTTTCATCCTCAGCACTGTGTATGGTTCCCTGATCACTGCTAGGAGTGATCCCTGAGCACAGAGCCAGGAGTCAGCCCTGAGCTGGACTCCTGCATGGAAATCATGTGCAACTGCGCTAATCCTGAGTCATTAAAGGATTGCCCCCATCAGGAGTCACCTCTGAGTACTGCTGTATGTGGTGCTAAAAAAAAGTTAAAAAGTACTGGGGCCAGTGAGCACACTTAACATTTTGTTTGTTTGCTTTAGTTGGGGGGCCACACTGGCGGTTCTTGGTGCCTACACCTGGCTCAGTGCTCAGGGGCTCCTCCCCATCGTGTTTGGGGGACCAGATGGTGCTGGGGACCAAACCTGGGCTTCCTGCATGCAAAGTCATGCTGAGTCTGTTGAACTCTCTTTGACATCCACATGTCTTTATTTTTTATTTATTTTTACTTTTTGAGTCATACCCAGTGATGCTCAGGGGTTACTCCTGGCTCTGCACTCAGGAATTACTCCCGGTGGTGCTCGGGTGGACCACATGGGATGTGGGGGACCGAACCTGGGTCGGCCGCGTGCAAGACAAACGCCCGACCAATTGTAGTATCACTCTGTCTTTATACATTTTACTGATGGAAAAGATCTAGAGTAGATGGATGTATGTGCTCTCTGGGTATGCAATGCATGTATGTCACATCTATCATGAGACACAGGGTACTTGTGGATTTCGTGCACCTGAAGCTTTGATATGACTTGGAGTGACTTGTTTCACCTACTCTCAGCTCTTCTCAGCCCAGTCACCGAGGCTTCACAGGATCAGACAACACCCAATGCGGCCGGGAGGTCTCTTAGAGACTCAGGATAATAACCCAGGGGTCTAGAGCACCTGCCTTGCAAACAGATGGCCACGAGTTCAAATCCCGGATGTCTCGCATGTGCCTGATATGATCCTGGCTGTTCTGCAGCCACGGTGGATGGAAGGAGGTGGAAGAGGGGATGTTTTAATTAGAAGTTTCTTCACTCACTGATTACACATCGTGGCTTCACACATTGTGGCTTTAATTTACATTGTCGCAGAGATTAGTTGTGTTGAGTAATTTTTCATATACCAATCAGCCTGTTGTGTATCATTTGCTTGTTTATTTTGGGGCCACACCTGATGGTGCTCAGGGCTTACTCCTAGCTCTGTGCTCAGGAATCACTCCTGGTGGGGCTCAGGGGACCATATGGGATACAAGGGATCAAGCCTGGGTCAGCCGTGTGCAGGGCAAGTGCCTTACCCTCTGTACTATTTCTCCTGTTCTTATATATCTCGTAGAAAATTGTCTATTCTGGGGGCCAGGGAGTGCAGTGGGTAAGGCACTTGCCTAGAATATGGTGGACCATGATTCAATTCTCAGCACCCCATATGGTCCCCCAAGCACCACCAGGAGTTGAGTCCTGAGTGCAAAGTCAGTAGTAACCCCTGAGCATCATCGGGTGTGACCAAAAATTTTAAGAAAGAAAAGAAAAGAAAGAAACTGTCTATTCAGACATTTTGCCCATATTTTGGGGGTAGGGGCGGGTCATACCTGGTGTGCCACAACCCCCCCACCAAAATAGGAAATAAACCCAGGACTCCTGCATGCAAATCATGTGCAACTGCGCTAATCCTTTGAGTCATTAAAGGATTGACCCCATCCATTTTTAATTGGATTATTTGGATTTTTTTCCTCTCTCTCTCCTTCTTTGCTATGAAGTTATATGACCAACTTTACTTCAACAAAATTTTTCATTGCGCCTTTACTAAATATAATTTCATTTCCTGGGCTGGAGCAATAGCACAGCGGGTAGGGCGTTTGCCTTGCACGCGGCCAACCCAGGTTCGATTCCCAGCATCCCATATGGTTCCCTGAGCCCTGCCAGGGGTGATTCCTGAGTGCACAGCCAGGAGTAACCCCTGTGCATCGCCAGATGTGACCCAAAAAGCAAAAAATAAAATAAAATAAAATAAATATAATTTCATTTCCTAATGGTAGTGTTTGAAAACCAGATCCCCAAATTCCTAATGATATAACAACAACAACCAGCTCTTACAAAAGGTATGACTCAGTTTTCTCTGCCTTCTGCTTCCTCCTTTCTGCTCTGGGTAAACCAGAAAGCAGGTGTGGGATGGGGAACCGGCCTCAGCCCAGCAGCCCAGGATTGGCCGCAAAACAAGCCGAAAGTGGCCCAGGCCTGGGAGTCCCCCGGCCCGCCTGGACCTGTCTCGGGTCTGCTCCAAGCAGCAAACAAGCCTCTCCTGGCAGTGAGCCCCTGCTTGGGTCTCTGTCCAACTGTTAGCCACCGGGTGCGGGCTTCATCCTGGGGGGCCTCCTCTGGGCCTCCCGACTCAGATTTGCAGAGAAGACGGCCCTCTGACATTGGGACCGGCTGAGGCTTTGCTTTGCGAAGGGTGGCCTCTGCTTCTTGCTGTGACCATCAAAACCCTCTTGGTCATTGCCAAACATTCTCTGGGGCAAAAAGAAAATCTACCCCAGCCCCATGAAAACGGCTGTTGTACACAATCCCCATGACTTGGCTAGAAGCGTGCCTTTCCCCGACCTTGAGGCTTGGCCCCTGTAGGAGCGGAGGCACGTGGATTTGCCTCTGGCTGTGCCTCAGTTTCCCCCCTCTGAACTGGGACAATAATAGTACTTGCTTCCTGAATTGTTGAGTGCAATCAAGATCAGCCCTAGGACAAGGGTTCATAGGGGACAGATGGACACACAACAGCTGACCAGTGTCACAGCTAGGTAGGGGGCGGACAGGGTGAGAGTCAGCAAGCAAGGTCCAGCCCCCTGCAGCCACCTGTGCCCGGAATGACCTTGAGCAGGGCGCCTCCTGCCTCAGCCCTTGCCAGCCCATTGGCAGTGCCTGAAAGGGGAGATGGTCAGTACCTACCCCGACTTCCTCTCCCGCAGACCCCCCCGGCCACCCCTGCCCATTCTAGCTCCAAGCCCAGCCCACTCAGCCCCCATCCCCTGGCCCTGGTCACCACCACCCCTTTCTAGAACAAAAATGTCCACGTGGGGCTGGAGCAATAGCACAGCGGGTAGGGCATTTGCCTTGCACGCAGCCGACCCAGGTTCGATTCCCAGCATCCCATATGGTCCCCTAAGCCCCGCCAGGAGTAACTCCTGAGTGCAGAGCCAGGAGTAACCCCTGTGCATCACCAGGTGTGACCCAAAAAGAAAAAAAAATTAACACACTAAAAAAAAAATGTCCACATGTCTCAGGGCAGAATTTTACACATCAGGATGCCCCCAGCCAGCAAAGCCCGTGGATGCTCAGGTATGGGTGACCCTGGGCATCGGCTGAGGGCATCGGCTCAAGGTCTGAGAGACTCCCTAAGGTGAATTTTTGGTAGAGCAGACCCCTGTGTAGCCCTTGGGGAAAGGGAGGTGGTGGCCGATGCCAGAGATGCCAAAAGTTTAACCAACTGACACATCTGTTTCCAGCCCCACTGTTCTGTGCTTGGCCATCCCAGGACACAGAGCACACTCAGGCCTCAGCCATTCTTTCTTATTGTCCACTGACCTTAAGGCACAACTAAAATGTCACCTCCTCCAGGAAGCCCTTTGCTAATTGCCTTACCTCCCCCCCACCCCCTTGCTGCAAGCCCTCCCCCAGTGCTCTCCTGCACGTAACAGCCTTCTTTCTCTCTGACAGAACAGCTGTTTGGTCCTTTTAGCTCTAGTTATACGCTTGTTTTCCAGTTGAAGGCTCATTTTGTCACGAGGCAGGGGACACATAACCCAATTTTTGGGGAGGGGTCGGGTTTTGGATTTGGGGGCCACACCCAGCTGTGCTCGGGGCTTACTCCTGGTTCTATGCTCTGGTATCACTCCGGGTGGGCTCGGGGACCAGATGGAGTGCCAGGGATTGAACCTGGATTGGCCGTGTGCAAGGGAAGCAGAGTATATCTCTCCAGTCCCAATATATGGCCCAGTTTTGAGAACTGAGCAGAGTTGGCTGGGGTTCTGGGAAGGATTCTGTGTCTCTTGAGTGTGCTGTGGTGTGTCAGGTCTTTCCTTCCTTCCTCCAGCATGACTGTGAGAGCAGGAGCTGCAGTGGCCATCTTGTGACCATGAGGCAAAGCCAGGCAAACGCAGAGAGCTGGTTTAGTTGCTGGGCTGTGCCCAAGAGCTTCTTTCCTTTGAAGGCGGCAGGTAGATGTGGAGGTGAGGGGGTCTGGCTCTTGAGAAAGCTCTTGCGAAGTAATAAAACCAACATGAGATTTGAAGAGTTTGCTCCGCCACTAGCCCTAAAGTGGCTGAAAAAACCATTGTGTCTGGATCCACTTTGTAGACACAGACACTGAGGCCC